ACAGAGTCACAAATCACAAGGGCACAAAACAGTCAAAACTCAGATCTCTACTCACCTATCAATAAGGATCCACTTCTGGGCCCGCCTGCCCTAAGCCCCGCCCACTTTCGGAGCGCTTGCGCGCCGCACGCCTCCAGCGATACTATAGGCGCAGGCACGGGGACGCAGTACCCAGGCCTCCGCGCTGTGCGCCTCACCGCGGCGCCTGCGCACTCTGAGCCTGGCGGGGGTTCCCAGAATCCTCGGGACTCGGCTCGCTTCAGGGAGGCGGTCTGTACTTTGGGCGCCTGGAGTCGGGACTGAGAGGCTTCTGGGCGGTTCTGTTCCCCGTCTGGGGGCCTCAGCAGGGGGCTGAGTGTAGCGGCCCCGAGGCCGGGTCGGGGAACCAAGCCCAGCAGTCGCGCCGCCGGGTCTGGACTACCCTCCCCAGGGGCCGTTGCGGCGGGACGGCACGCCCACTTCCGGCGGGGGTCTAAGAGAAAGGCGGACCCGGCGGGGCGGCCGCGCGCGTTCTGGCGGCGCGTGAACGGCTGGCGTGAGGGAACGAATGACGGCTAGAACCCGGGCTCCGGACAGCCTCCCCGGGGAGGCCGGCCCCGTGCGCTCCAGCTGCCGCCGCCGCCGCGAGGCCGGCGCGGGCCCGGTTGGGGCGGTGAGGCTGGAGGGGTGGACCGGAGCGGATGTCGGAGGTAAGGGTGACAGGTGGCTGGGGCGCGGCCGCGACAGTGTTGGCGGAGGGCGGCCCCGGCCGCGGGGGCTGGCGGTCCCAGAGTCCAGAGTTGAGGATGGGGTCCCTCGGGCCGGGGTGTGAGACAGGGGTCGCCTGACCCACAGGCTCCTTCCCGGGCTGGTGGACCCAGGAATCCAGAGTCAGGGGTAGTGTCCCTAGAGCCTGGGTATAAGACGGGCGTCCCGTGACCTGACACGCTCCTTCCTGGGCTGGCAGTCCCAGGAGTCCGGAGTCTGGGGTGGGGTCCCTCAGGCCGGGGTGTGAGATGGGTCCCCTGATCCGACAGGCTCCTTCCCGGACTGGCGGACCCAGGAGGCCAGCGAGTCGGGGGCCGGGAGTGTGAGGCTGACCTGCCCAGAGTTACCTGACCTGGTCCAAGGTCCTGCCCCGCAGGTCACTGTGGGATGGGGTTCGCAGAGGTGGGCTCCTGTGGAAGTGGAGAGGGACCCCGCCTTTCCAGGGTGTGGTCACAGAACCCATCCCATTCCTGCTTCACTCTGTCGCGCCCTCTCCCCGCCACCAGAGAAAGGAGGCGGGGGGTGGGGGGGTGGGATGCAGGGGAGGGGGAGGGGTGGGAGGAAGCACAGCTCACAGCCAGACTGTTCTTTCCTGTTTTGCTGCAGCAATAATTATAGCCACTGTTTTCTGGGTTCTGGGACCTTTTGGGGACAGTCACACCAAATGTCACTTCAGCAAGCGGAAACTCTGGTCCCTCCTTTTTCACAGATGAGGACACTGAAGCAGACAGAGGCCGGGTAATCGCTAGTGTGTGGAAGAGCCGGGATTCGGTTCCAGGACTGGAGGGCTCCGGAGTCCCTCCGGTACTGACTCTCGTGTAATCCTCTCTACAACGGCTTGAGGTCAGTATCCTTAACTACTTGGGACGGGTGAAGAAGTGACTCTCAGACGGTTAAATACTCTCAAGGGTTGAGATCCCCCAAACCCCCACCGAGCAAGTTTTTGTTTCTCAAACTTTTGACCCAGTTTCTCCTACGTGGCATGGAGAGGAGAGTGTGTACCTCATAGGACTGTTATCAGGGTTCACTGAGCTCATGCCTGTAAAACACTTATCCTGCCACATAGTAAGTGGTCAATAAGTGTTCATTCTTATTGTCATTTTTGAAAAAATGTTTATTTTTTGAGAGAGAGAGAACCGTGGAGGGGCAGAGAGAGAGAGGCGAGAGAAATCCCAAGAAGGCTCTGCACGTTCAGCACAGAGCCCAAAGCTGAGGCTGGTGAGAACTCACGAACCACGAGATCATGACCTGAGCCGAACCACGAGATCATGACCTGAGCCGAGACCCGAGTCGAAACCAAGAGTCAGTGCTTAACCGACTGAGCCACCCAGGCGCCCCCTGTCGTCCTTTTAATAAAGGCTCGAGGAAACCAGAGTTTTGAGGAAAGAAACCAGAATTAAGTCAGGGACTTTATCCTCTTTCTGATTGAAGAAACTTGGCTCACAAGAGACATGGTTTGTCACAGAGCAAAATGGGTCTCTTGATGGGTTTATTTGGTCCAGTTATCTGGAAGCCATGTGGACCCTTTGTTGTAACAGAGGTAATAGTTCTCTCTGGGGAAGATGACTGTTTCTAGATCCCGTAGAGCCGGGACCGACCCTGACTAGTCAGCCGCACCAGGTCCCGTAGAGCCGGGACCGACGCTGGCTAGTCAGTTGCACAGTTGGCTTGAGCAAATAGTCTGTGAGGGTTCACTCAGGCAGCACCCCTGGTATGTCTCTGTTGTTAATGATGGGTGGCTTTGAGACAGAAGGAGGTTGCACTCAGCCTGAACACCCAGAGCAAAGTAGGTCTCCCACTAAGCTCCTGGTGGCGAGGGGATGTGGGGGTGGCGGTGGGGGAACAGAGGGAGCTGCAGGGAGGAGAGAGTTCTGGGCTGTGATTATTACAGCCGCTCAGCCTCTCACTGCTCCTTTCTCTGCCAGCTCTGCCCTCTCAGGGTAGAGCACTTCTCACGAGGAGCCAGGAAGAGGAAGAGGTGATGGGAGTCGAACTTCTTAAAGCCATGCCCCTGGTGAGTTAGTCTTCTCTCTTTCCTTCTTAAAATACTGTCTTGCTTTCTAGGACTTGAGAGTGTTTGTCTCCTTCTGAAAATTGTCTGCCTACGAGTTGCACCCCGAGGCCCGGCTCCCATTTCTTCCCTCTCTGATGGGTGATGGGGCCACAGAGATAGACTCAGCCCAGCGCCCTGGCCCAGCTTCCTCTTCTTCCTACAGCTGTTTGGTCTTCATTCGAGAAATGACCACTCTGAGCCCTTCCTTCCCTGTGCTCAGTTTTCCCGTATGCATCTGACAACACAGAAATACAGTCCTTAGAGGCAATTTGAGAGCCATGATCTGCCTAGTCCCTAAGTACCCGTCCTGGCTTATAATCTGTTGGAGAAATGAAAAGGCAACCAACATTTATTTGTGCAGTGTGGTCAGTGCTGTAGGTGTGGAGTGGACTTGCTGTGGAGAAGTGGGCAAGTCCACATGAATACCTTTGGGTGAATTAGAAAAAGGTGTCCTTGGGGCACCTGGGTGGCGCAGTCGGTTGAGCGTCCGACTTCAGCCAGGTCGCGATCTCACGGTCCGTGAGTTCCAGCCCCGCGTCGGGCTCTGGGCTGATGGCTCGGAGCCCGGAGCCTGTTTCCGATTCTGTGTCTCCCTCTCTCTCTGCCCCTCCCCCGTTCATGCTCTGTCTCTCTCTGTCCCCAAAATAAATAAACGTTGAAAAAAAAATTAAAAAAAAAAAAAAAAAAGAAAAAGGTGTCCTTTCCTCTGGCCCGGTGAAGCTCTGGGACAGGCCACAGTCTAGCAGGACGAAATCTACTTTAGTTTTAGCTCCTTTTTGCCTCCCTGGTGACAGATCCGGGTACGGAATAAAGCCTACACGGTCGTACTCCCTGTTGGAGCGAGGAGGCAAGGGAGGTGTGACTCCTGAGGTGCATCTTGAAGGAAGGGGAGATAAGCAGGCACACGTGATTTGGGTCGGAGGGTGTGGAGTTGTCCCCTCCCCACGTGACTTGGAGCCATGAACATCTTAAAATGCCAGGGAATGTTCTACTTCCTTTTTTCTTTCTGAGATGAACATCCTCATCTGTTTAATCAGCCCCTTGTTCCATAGCTGAGTTGTTGCCATGTTTTACTATTTAATAGAGATTATCGATCAGATTATTGATCATCTTTTGCCCTCATCACTGATTATTTTCTTGGACTAAATTCCACATTTTTCATTTCTTATGGATTAGAGTTTCTCAAACTTCGGAATATTTTTAATTTTAATATTTTTATGATCAATAATAGTATTAAGAACTATAATTCATATTCTGATTAAAGTGGACTGCTAAATGAGGATGATGAACAAATTATTGTAAGAAATTATAAAATTTGGTTAGTGAACTTTATTATTATTTTTTTAATGTTTATTTATTTTTGAGAGAGAAAGAGACAAGAGTGTGAACAGGAGAGGGACAAAGAGAGAAGGAGACACAGAATCTGAAGTAGGCTCCATCCAGCCTCTGAGCTGTCTGCACAGAGCCTGATGCGGGGTTCAAACTTGGGAATGGCAAGGCCATGACCTAGGAACCCCAAAATTTGATTAATAAACCTTAAAATGGCTTTTTAAAAAAAA